ACTACATAACAAAATTTGAAATGAGCTCTATGGGTCCAATTAACTTCTTCCTTGGTTTAAATATAAGACAGAGTTTGGAGGGAATATTCGTCAACGAAGAAGCTTTCATGAAGACGCTATTGGCCTAATTCGGAATGACGGGTGATTCCGAAGTCAAAGTTCCAATGGCGTTCAGAACAAAACTCACTCCTTCATTAGACAAACCGACAACATATATTACATTGTTTCGTCAGATGATCAGATCTTTATTGTATCTAACATCTAGTCGTCCAGACATAATGTTTGTTGTTTGTTACTGTGCCAGGTTTCAAGCAAATCCTCGAGAACCTCACATGTTGGCGGTAAAGAACATATTTCGATATCTGAAACGAACATCTTCACTCGGTTTATGGTATCCATCAAATTCAAGATTCTTTGTGCAAGCCTGCTCTGATGCTAATTTAGGGGGCTATGGCCTTGATCGGAAAAGCACATCAGGTGGATGTCAATTTCTGGATGGCAAGCTTGTCAGGTGGCCATCTAACAAGCAAACATGTGTGTCCTTATCCACATATGAATCAGAATATATTGCAGCAACATCATGTACATCACAAGTGGTTTGGATACAGAATCAACTATGAGACTATGGAATCAATATGAAACGAATTCCATTATATTGTGATTCCAAAAGTGCTATACGAATCTGTCCCAATCCAGTGCAACATTCCAAGACAAAACATATAGCACTTCGATACCACTTTATTAAGGATCATGTCGAATATGGGAATGTGGAAGTTCACTTTGTCAGATCATCAGATCTGTTAGCAGATATCTTCACGAAAGCCTTACCATAAGTATCATTCAATCAGATCTTACAAGGATTGGGAATGATTGAAGCTGACTCGTTTCCGAAATCAACATCGTCATCGTCCGTGTTACTATAGCATTCTGAATGATTCTGATCATCGAAAGCTGTCAGATTTAAATGTTCACTTCCGACATGTTCCGATCTTCGGAGTAGTTCTGAAGTAACTATTCATTCGGATTTCAGAATCCTTTTTCTTTGTATGTCTTTTTTTATTTTTATTTATTTCCGTTCTATTTTTTAGAAAATCAAAATTACAAAAATATTTTATTCGTTTCTATATTTTCTTTTTAGAAATTCAAAAATATTTTCTTTATTTCCATATTCTGAAAAATCAAAAACCTCAAAAAATATTTTATTTTCAAGGAATTGATGGTAAATTCATTCGTGAATTTTAGTCTGCAACAAGGAATTGATGGTCGACATCATCACATCTTTCTAGCATATCTTATCACGACTTCCACGTTGTCCTTTGATTATTGGAACAAAACCAGTTTCGGTATATGGACTACATACATTATTTTTAATGATCGCAAAATCATTGCTAACATGATTTTCATGAAACTCCCAACCATTTGATTCATGAAACTCCCAACCATTTGACTCTCAATCTATTATTCTCCATCTATTTCATGTTCATAATCATAACCCTTGAGACTCTCAGGTTTTACCACTGAGGTTTATGGTTACACAACATCTATGTTTATGACCTTGAAATCGTTATTACCATGATTTCGAGTGAAACCCAAAATCCGACTCCCTTTTCTGAATTGACGGGGAACAATTTATTGTTGTAGTTTCTTTAACCACTGAATTGACGGATAAAACCTTATTGGTTTGTACCTTGGAATGTTCGAAATCTCATTTTTCATTTGTATGGTCTTAATGAAATGTTCTTGACCCAAGTCATTTCTTCCAAAAAGATCCAGGTTTTTTTAATGAGATTTCCGAATGAACATTTTCCGAAATACCAAGTTACTTCAAAGAATATCCAAATCTTACTTGTTTTTATGGCTACACTGGTCAAACAAGTACTTCTTTCAGATCTACATACTTATGTTAAGTTTTGGAATCTGTTTGAAGCTGAAACCAACCATCAAGCCTTATAAAAGAAGCCTTTCATAGTTTTTCAACAAACTTATGATCATAATTCAACAGGAAACCACACAAGCACTTCAGATTCTCTCTTGACTCAGAAGGAAGCGATCGTTTCACATGATCCATCTGCTTTTCATATCAAACTTGTTTGATATCATAAATCCCACAATTTCAATTTTCTTAATTCTTTTTCTTTGGCACACTCTTGCACTAAAATCCTTGTTACAAACTCTGGTTTCTGTTCCGATTAAGGCATTTGATTTTTGAAGAACGAATCTTGGTCGTAATTTCAATGGATACTATTCTAGCTTATGCAAAGTTGGAGGGTAGATCAATCATTTCGAAAGTGGAGACTCATAAAACGCAAATCATGGCGCGACTTTTGAATTTCTCTGACATCAGCGTGTCTGTTATAACGGTCGCTGACACATGTATGGTGAGCTGGCAGGTTTTTATTGGCTGATTTTTTGGTACTACAGGCGTGTGAAACGACGGTTTCTCTCTCCACTCATCATCTTTCGTATAAAAGCATCTGAAACAGTTTATTTTCTCTTACCGCAAACACTGCTCACAAATTTTCAAACAAAAACGAAGCTTTCCACTGTTCTTGACTGTTCATCTTCTTCTTCACTATGGCTTCATCAAAGAACATTTCGTTTGCTGATCAATCTGCCTCTGTGATCATGTTGAACGTCAAACCCAACCAGAATCTTATCATTGACCTTGATGCTTCTCGCTACAACGCTCTAATCAGACCTTTGATCGAGTGTTTGAAGTTCTCGCCATTGGTGAGGGCACTAATAATGTCTAAATATGTTCCTCTCGTTCATCTCCCCAAAGCTTACTCAACTGCAATCTATAACAAGCCTGAAGAAGTCATCAATTTTGAAGTTTCAAGCCACAAAACTTCGATCACGAAAGCCAATTTCTGCAAATTTCTAGGGCTTGTTTCTTCTGATGTTAGTGTTGATCCTGAGTTAATTCCTGCCACAAGCTTGATCGAGATGTTCTTTCTAATGGGTTACACTGGTGATATCTCCTTACTATCGAAGTTCAAGAAATCATTCTTACCTCTAATGTGGAATGGGCTGTTTACTCTACTATTCAAAAGTCTGTCAGAAAGGGTTTGGGGTTCTGACAGTGCGAGCAAGCTCTTATACACATTGATCTATGGGTTATATCATGGTATCAACTTGGATTTTGGGTCTGTAATTTGGGCTCAATTCGTTCAAATCACCAGTTCATCAACCCGTCATACGGAAATTTCATGTGCTCGTTTTTGGTTGATCGTTGTCAAAAGAGTCCTACATCATTACAAGGTTCCTTAGATGAAAGATTATCTTATTTCTAAAATTTTGACTCTCTAGACCACTGCATTTCTCATGTCGGATCCCAGGAATTTTGATTTCGTTGGATCAACTCTGGAAGTATTGTTGGAGAAGGTTCCGTTGGACAACACCATTGTTAGGGCTTATCAAAAATTTCCCTCTTCTGGTGTTCGTCCAATCCCAGTGGAGTTAAAGAAGATCATTGATGAAGGTGATAAACCGAAACGAGGAGGGAAAAGGAAGGCCATGGCTGCTCCTTCCGAAGGCATCAAAGTTACAAAGAAATCAAAGAAGTCGGTTCTGAAACCAATGTCTCCCTCTCCAGTGCTTTAAGTTGAATCCAAAGAGCAGACATAATCAGATATTCAGGGGACTACTATTCTCTGAAATGATGAGGAAGATACCACTCATACTTCCGAACCAACCAATGTCGAAACACTTCACAAGGTATCTTCTCCTCCATTATCTTCCAATCCTGAATCTGACATCTTTGCTTCTATCATCCAAGAACCATTTCTAAACCTCACCACTTCTCCACCTCCACCTCCATTCAATCCACTTTCATCACAAATGACAACCTCACCAATCACTTTCTCTATTCCGATATCATCCATCCCTCCTCTACCACAAATGAGTTCTGCTGAAACATCTCTTCCTCCATATTCAGTCCCATTTCATTCCCAATTTTCCCAGACTCAACCGTTCCTACAACAACCACTGTCACAACTTCACCAGAAGTTCCTATTATCAAATCTGTTTCGGAGGAGATTATGACTTCAGGCATCCCTGGTAACTCATCTGATATGGGGCCAAATGCCAATATTGGTGTGTCATCGGAACCATCTTCCTCTGTTAAACAACCTCTGCATGAGGATGCTGATATTTTGTTTGGGGATGATCAAGAACCCCTTGACGATTTTGTCTTCCACCCATTTACCGTCAATACAGATAGTGATAATAATGATGCCCCCATGACAAAAGGTCAGTTCAAGCAGCTGAATGAAAAGCTTGATTCCATTCTGGAGTATATAAACACCTTTTCTTCATCAAAATAGGAATATTTGTTGACCACCCATAAAGCAACTGTGGAAATGCTTACATCTACTAATGCTAAAGTGCTTGAAGAAACAACAAAGGCTAATCAAGCTTCCGAACATAAAATCTCCGAAGCTACAGAGAAGGTCCAAAAATTACAACAGGAAGTCCATGAGTTCATGACTAACTTCCAGACTTCTTCTGAAAAGAATGTAGCCGATAGGAACAAAGTCATAGAAGGATTTCAGACTTCTTTACGAGCCGAAAAAGAATCTCTCTCATCCCTACGCTCAGACATTCAGAATGGCAATGTTGATATCAATTCATCCATTTCTGAAAAGCTCACCAAATTACAAAATAACTTGGCCGCAGAGAATAAAATCATGGACGCTTTGGCTGAAAAAACTCAGAAAACCAAGGTGCTACAAGAAAAGCCGAAGAACGCTTCGCTCGATATTGCAAAGCTTGAAGAAGAAAAACTTTTAATTCAAGGTCGCAATTTTGAAATCAAACAACGATTGATGCGAATCGTTGAGTCCCGAGATGCTCTGTTCACTGACTATGTGGGTCAGATTCTCTCTGAAAAGCTCTAACCCGTGTTCGTAATGCTTAATCAAATTAAGGGTGTTTTGAGAAGTGGGGCCTCTTCGAAACAAGGGGGAGATGTGGAGGTGAACTTGAAAAATCCGTATCAGATGGGCCCCATGAAGAAAACAAGCGAAGTTGATGCCATCTCGTTGGAAAAGAAGACTATGGCAGAAAAACTCAAAAACATCATGGAAATAAAGACCGGTAAGAAGGATCATGTATCTTCCGGATCAGGAAAAGGAAAAGTTAACATCATTTCAGACGAGGATACTAAGGAAGATCCAATGATGACTGAGTCGGAAAAAAGCAGCAAGAGAGAAAAGGGACAAAGAGCTTGATGATCTTAATGCCCTAAGAGAAATACTTGATGCTGAAGAGGCCGAAGCCAAGAATTCACAAATGATTCTTGAGAACAAGAAAGCCCTATTTCCGGCTTGGTCTTTCGACCAAATGCAAAATGAAGTGATCGGCGAACCAAATCTCTTTTGGTTGGAACCAAAAACCTCATTCGACATAACTAATGATGTGGAGTGCCAGCTTGATTTCCCCATCACTCCAAGGGCGTTTCTCTTCTGATGCTTTCAGCAGATAGAAAAATCCTTGATCTCCAACAATGCAATAAACTGAAATCTCTTCTCGTTTTATTTGAAATATGCGAAACCACAATACGATTCATGGAGTCTGAAAAAATCGTAGGTCTGAAGGTTGGTCTGCCCATTCAAATGGAAGACTTTCTTAACATTCAATTCAATGTATTCCAAGGTTCTAATCATGTTCTTCACAAGTTCACTCTGGTTGATCTACCTTTTATGAACCTGTATGATTGGATCTCGTTATTTCACATTGTTGTGAGGATATAAGGAAGTTTGAGCCCATCTATGAACACTTGAAGAAGATGATTAAGTGTTATATCCAAGATATTGCAAAGATGAATGTTGAAATAGCTTCTGTTCTGAAAAAGAAACCAATATTGAAGTCGTTTGATCAACCTGAAAACATTCAACATCTAAAGGGAGGGCTTATTGACAAAGAGTGTTGGAGCATCGTCTAGAAAATAAAGGAGGGTAATGTAATTAAGAACTGCATGTTCTTTTTGAGAGATAAGTATTTGTACTCTACAAGTGCTCTGAATTCAATTCTGAGAAGGGCCGAAGCGAACATGACCAACTCTGCTGTTGATGTCAAAATGTGTTTCTGACATGATTCGTTGGTATCTAACTATCCGAACATCCCTTTTAAAGATTATGCCGAAGATTTATGACCCTCCCAAGCAATAAAGAAGGCTTCATTCCGATTTGACACAAAAGGGGAGATTGTTAAGTCTTATTAGTGTTGTGTCAATTGACTGTTTTCAGAATTTTGTCATGTTCCGATTCTGAAATGGGCATGTCCATTTTCGGAATTGTTATCTCGTTATGTCTATTTATTCCATCTGTATTTGTCTTTTCTGAAACAACTTTTGAGACGTTTTCTTCCAGCATAGAAAGAATAGTTCCAATTCTACGAATTGTTCTATTGTTGCGTTAATGGAGATCAACTTCTTTGCAATCATTATTGTTTCATATCATTGATCCTTTTCGTAATATAGAATCTATCGATCACTTTCGTACTTTATTATTTTTCCAACATTTAGTCGTTATGTAAAATTCTATAAACTATTTCTGTAACGCCCGATTCTCAGGTATTGATTTAATGTGTGATTTTCTTGAATTCAAGGGCTACTCGACGAGTTGATTGCCCTACTCGTCGAGTAGCAGCGGATTGGTCCACGTATTTTAATGACCTACTCGCCGAGTCCAAGAAGGGACTCGACGAGTAGGAGCTGGCAGATGAAACCCTAAATCTTGGGGTTTTGCACCCTATTTAAAGGATCATTGGCCTCCCCCAGCCTCCCCTTTTACTGCTTCTTGTCCCTCTCAAACCCTAACCGAGTGTGTGTGTTCCATTTGTGTATTCTTGAGCTTGGAAGAGGATTTTGTGGAGAAGGGAGCTTGGAGAGCAAATATTCAGAAGCAAGGAGCTTGTGGGATCTGAAATCTACCTTATTGGGCATCTTTTGGAAGGTATAAATTGTTACCCTGACCTCATTTCATTCCAGATCCCCTTTTTGGACAAATTATAGGGTTTTCATGGTATGATTGGAAGCTATTCTTGTGTGCAAGCTAAGATCTGAAGTTGTAACTTCAGAACTGAGCTCCCTTGGGCTTCTGAGTCCATAAAGTTTCTAGCTTGTGCAAGGATGAGACTTTCCCAAGGTGTAAAGCTCCATTAGAAGCTTAGATTGGTCATTTAGGGCCTTTAGAGCCTTGCATGTGCGTAAAGTTTGCAACTTTACGTGATAAACATGCCTTAGAAGCTTGGATCTGTAATCTGGAACCTTGTCATGGCTTAAAAAGCGTCTGCATGGATAAAGGTCTGCAAGGACTCAGCGAGTCCGTTGAAGATGGCCATGAACTCGACGAGTTGGATGAACAACTCGGTGAGTCCGTTGAAGATTGCCTTGAACTCGGCAAGTCGTTCGAAGACACGGCGAGTTAAAAGGGAACTCGACGATCCAATCAAGGATTTCACGACTTCTCGAGTTCAGGAAGGACTCGACGAGTCGGTGATCTGCACTCGACGAGTCGAGTCAACATGGACTATTGACTTTGACTGTGGACCTTGACTTAGACCAAGGGTTGACCAGTTGACTTCTGAGGATATTCTGGTAATTTGGAGATTTATGAGAAAGGGTTTTATGGTAACTATAGGTGGTGGAGTTCGTGTTGGTGATCCGGGAGTTGAGCTTTCTAGTTTCAGACGACAGTTGTGAGGTGAGTTATCCTCACTATACTAAGGGGTCTAAGGCACCAAGGCCGGCCCATTGGATATGTTATCCTAGCAGTGTTAGATGTTGAGTATGAGTTAGTGTTGTATGCTAGTGGTTATGCCAGTTAGGTAGACCTGTAGGACTACCTGTGATGTTATATGATTATTGCATGCTCAGTGGTTATGTTGTATGTTATATGTTATGTGGGATGGGTTGAGGTTGTACTGCTCCGTGTGGTAGCCAACAGACCTTAGGAGTATTCCAGTTACGGGCTAAAGGGAGACTCGTACTGTGGGCTCGGGAGCATTCCAGTTACGGGCTAAAGGGAGACTCATACTGTAGGGTCGGGTAATCCAGTTGTAAAGCTGGGGACCCATTATATGTTGTTCAGTTGGTTATGATTACGGGCTAAAGGGAGACTCGTATTGTGGGCTCGGGGTAATCCAGTTGTAAAGCTGGGGACCCATTATATGTTGTTCAGTTTGTTATGATATGTTTATGTGGACTGTATGTGTATCGGTATTTTGGGGGAACTCACTAAGCTCTCGGGCTTACAGTTTCAGTTTATTGTTTCAGGTACATCTGGGGATCGCGGCAAGGCGAAGGCATGATCGTACAGCTCCTCACTTTATGTTTATGTTTCTGGGATATACTCTGATAAATAATATTTTGAAAACAAAGATGTAATGTTTGACGAATTTGATGTGTTTTTAAAAGTTTAAATTTGCTTGAAATTTTTGGGTGTTACAAGTTGGTATCAGAGCCTTGGTTTGAGTGAATTGGAGGAACATTCGTGTGAATCCAGTCTCAAATCAAGGAAAGATTTTCAAATGGTTTTCAAAATAAGTAAAGGAGGATGCAGAGGGTACGATCAGCCGGAGCCAGTAAGTAGACCCCAAAATACCATACAAGTTATTTGATTATGTGATATGATTAGAACAGCATGCTAGTACTAGGCTAGGGATCTTCAGGAATTGCATGATAGAATTGCCTGATTACATGATGCCTGCTAGCCTAGGGTTTTCCTTGTATGAGATTGACATCATTACTGTAGTTACTTGTGTATGCATCACGGTTATACATAATTAAGATCTTATAGCCTAAGAATGTTTGATTTGGCCTTATGTTCTGTTCTTTTTTGATTGGGAGCTTAGGGTAGGATTGGATATTCGAAAGTCTATAGGGTCCAGCGTTATGTATGGCTAGCATGCACTAGTACTGCAGGGTTGGTGGAAGTTTCATGGATAGGCGGGTTGTGTGAGGCCCAGGGGCCAGTCATGAGATATTTAGTATTCCTCTAGGAGTGAGGATTGAGCGCTTGCCATGTTGTGTATCCAGTTAGGGTATTGTGATGATGCTTGAGACAAATATGGGTAGGTGTGGAAGGTAGTATGGGCCCGTACTACTGAAAGCACAGGACCCATACGCGTGTCAAGTAAGTCACAATCCCAAGGGTTAGTAGGGAGTTGGCTCCCAGTTATTTATATGGATTATCCGATATCTTGTGGTATGTTTCAGAATGGTGATGACGAGGCGCTTTGTGGCTGGATCCGGTTCGGGATCAGGATCAGGGGACAGAGGCCAGGAGGGGCCAGCAGCACCTGAGCCAGTGGTGCAGATGGGTACAGAGAAGTTGGATGCCAGGATCCGAGAGATCCTACAGGATGAGGTTGCTGCTGCATTCCGGGCACAGTTACCAGAGATGTTTGGGTCGATTAAGACCGCCATGGTGGAGTACTTTGATGAGCGTTATGCAGCCCTTGCAGAGACAGTCGCCGCAGCAGCTGTATCAGCGGCAGGGGGAGGAGTTGGTAGAGGTTTTTAGTACAGGGACTTCGATAACACGAAGCCCCCTACTTTTGATGGGACGCATGATCCCATCAAGGCTATGAGATGGATTTCAGATGTGGAGGGGTGTTTCTTCACCTGCTCGTGTCCTGCTGACCAGAAAGTCAGGTGTGCTCTGAACCTGCTTAGGTCTGGGGCCAAGGACTGGTGGAGACTTGCGATTGGGTCGTACACTGATGATCAGAGAGCTGTTGTTACTTGGGAGCAGTTCAGGGACATGTTCCACGCCCGTTACATTCCGCGGGTTGAGCGGGAACGTTTGGCACAGGCGTTTCTGAGTTTGAGACAGGATGGGGAGTCGGTGACAGAGATCACCCGTATGTTCACTGAGAGGGCGATGTTTTGCCCAGAGTTTGCTTCAGAGCAGGCTCAGATGACCCGTTATCTGAGCATGTTCAAGACGGATATCCGTCAGTTTGTGTCTACCCAGCGATGTGATACTCTTCTAGAGTTGCAGGAGGCCGCCAGACGGCGTGAGCTAGAGATTGAGCTGCAGTGGAGGGAGCAGCGACAGGCCCCGACACAGTCTCAGCCGGCGCCGAAGCGGTCTAAGACCGCTGACACTAGGACCGGAGGTCAGCAGAGCCGCACTTGTGGGAAGTGCGGTAAGGGTCATTCTGGTGTGTGTCGGGCTGATAGTGGATGCCACAGGTGTGGTAAGACGGGGCATTACACGAAGGACTGTCGCCAGGCAGTCCCAATTCAGGGTATGAGGTTATGTTATCACTGCGATCAGGTTGGCCACATTAAGGCCAACTGTCCGTTGCTAGCCGCCAAGCCGGCGCATGCTCCAGCGCCGACTACCTTGAGGATCACGGATAGGAGACCAGTTAGGGCAGAGCCTCCGAAGGCTCAGGGTCGTGCTTTCCAGTTGACCGCATAGGAGGCCAGGGCAGCACCAGATGTGGTTGCTGGTATG